TAGGTAGTATACGGAGACTAAACTACGAGTACATAGTTTTCACAATTGTTCAAAATGTAAGGCATACTTCCCGATGTAGTGGAAATAATATCTTATTTACATATACAACTTATAGCGTTGTTGTATCTCGACCGTCTCTCTGTTAGATAATTTTTTCTTAGAAGCTATGCCAAAAAGAGAAAGTATTTAGGGAAAAAATGCCAGACAATCACTCCAAATTTCTGGTCTCAAACTATGGAATTTCCCGTACTATGAGTACCAGAGTAACGATAATTCTGAGGGTAATGCCCAGAATACCCTGACCAGAATCAACTTAATTTTTTCATAAATTGGCTCAAATCAGGGATCTAATCTGGAAAGCTCCTCATCAAGCGGCCATAGTACTAATCACTGTGCCACTGAAGAGCATAAGCACACCCCGTAATCTGCAACCGACCACGCGCCGCAGGCCGAGCCCGACCCCACCGTGTGTGGGGTATAGGGCTCGTATTGAATAGTTATGTGTTTGAGTGATATTTTACTCCAAAAAGTATTTTATATATTATACTAAGTTCGTTGTTTAAGATTTTTGCTCTATTATATATTATCTTTACTTAAATAGACTGAACTTCTTCGCCGCAGTCAAAGCCGGAAGGGCTTTTGTGAGCGAAGCTTGTATAATTACAAGCTTCGCTCACAAAAGCCCTTCCGAAAAAGGAAAAATACTTACTTATGTTATAATTAACATAAGTAGGTATTTTTCCTGTATTTTGATCAATAAAAAAAATAATTACAATAATTCAATTTTACGTACGAGCGCCTTCAATACAATACAATACAATGCAAACAACACAAAATGCTTTATTTTTCTCAAAAAGGTTTACAAAATGCAGATTTGTTACATTTCATGTTAAATATGAAGCACCTTATTGAGAGCTGGAGTCTGTACTAGGTTGGGGACCTGTGTTACAGATCACCAGGCTCACACCCTTTTGACAAGTTTACCAGAAAAGTAACACTAATAAAATTTAACAAAAATAATGAAAATTAAAGAGTAAAATAAAATTGACAGCTAATTAGAAAATAAAAGAAATAGAAAAAACAAAAATCTCTGTGCGTGTGTGATTGTGTTTGTGTGTGTGTGTGTGTGTGTGTGCGCGCACGTGCGTGCGTGCGTGCGTGCGTGCGTGCGTGCGTGCGTGCGTGCGTGCGTGAGTGCGTGCGTGCGTGCGTGCGTGCGTGCGTGCGTGCGTGCGTGCGTGTGTGTGTGTGTGAGCCTCCCAAAAAACAGAAATGACGCTGTGCACAACTAGTGGAAACTGTAGTCGAAGGGCAGACAGTGCATTTTCGCCGAACAGTGTTTATTTTGTCAGAGTCGAAGGAGATTTGTGTATGTTTGGTTAAAGCCGTGTGTAGGATAAACAGCTGACGTACTGAAAGGACCTCACAGGTTTTGTAAAGGTCAGAGGCTGTATATCTGAAAGGAAGGTTCCATCCCACCTTGAGTATCGCACGTTGCGCTCGTTCCAGCCGAAGAAGTTGCTGCTTGGAAGATCCACCCCAACAGCCCTAAACAGAATGGTGATGAAAAATGCTTGGAAAGGTTCAGGTCGGCATTTTTTTGTTATGGCAACATAACAAAAATAATATTTACCTCAGATTGGGGGACAATTTTGCCAATATTGAAATTATGATAGAGACGACATTTTGGTAGTATGCTGAGGGGTTATTCGCGACATAAAAACAACACCTATATGCCTACTGTTGTAGGTCATTTTTCTTAGTCCGCGACGTAAGTCTTCGCAACCATTGCATTCACACTAATTTTACTATAGTTAGCAGTTAATTGAACATAAAAACAGCAAATATCGCGAGATAATTATTGTCCTCCCGCCAAATGACACTGAAGTCTTCGACAACGGTCCATGATTTCTCACAAAAACAAGTTACAAATCTATAAAACAAACTTTTGAAATTTTTTCAGTAAAACATATTGAAAACTAAGCCGATACCTCCAATGAATACTACGTCAACTTAATTTTTGGACCTGTTCTGTTTTTGTTTTATTTTTAGTTCCCGACTTTTTTTTCACAAAATTCGTTTTATGTTTTTTTTTCGTATTTTGTTTTTTGTTACTTTTTTTACAAAATTCAGGAAACACAATGTTAGTAAATAAATATGGCTGTTTACAAAAATAACAAAAAATGCCAAAAAAAATTAAGTTGGCTGGTGTAGTTTTTATGAAAGTGTGAGTTTACACACTTGTATTTTGATGCCTTTGTAACAGTAACATAAACTACTATTTTCCTTTTTTTATAAGTGTTCACCCATTTATCAGGGTAGGCAAAAGTTCTACCATACAGCCTCTTCATATAATAATATCTTTTACTTATTTTTGATGGAAAAGGCGACAAGCGCCTGTTCGTATTGTAATTTATTTCATTATGTCATGAAGTGTTGATGCTCCATAATTGTGTAGTACACATTGACTTACAATTATATGGGCGTCGGGTCCGCGCTAAAAAGTGTCCGCACTTGTAAGGCGCTAAAATCGTATACAGAGCGCCAAACTCCGCTTTAGTCTTCATTTGTTCTACTGACTGCGCGATAGTGCGATGACATTACAATTTAAATTTCGAATAGGTTGACTTGGGACATTTTTTTCGTGGTTTTTGTATTAGACCCGTCGTCCATTTATTTGTAAGTCAATGGTAGTACAGGATAAAAAAGCATCTATGTTTTTCAATAGATATTCTGTTGAGGGATTAGACAAGTTGTTGATAAGCATCGAGTATATAAACAGAAATAGAGAAATGAGGGCCATACATTCCTGGTAGGTACTCGCAACTCATCAGTGATACATCACTTATAAATATCAACTCTCGTTTGCACTGAAATATAGACAGCGCCAACAACTGACCCGTGTGTACGTCTCCGTATATTCCAAAAATATTCTGTATTTATTGTAATAAAGATAATATCTCTAACAATGGCGTGCTGTTCCAATCGGTGGTGTGGGGAATTCCTGCTTCTAATCCGAGGTGCCTCGAGTAACTTTCATTGAGATTTCTATTCTAGAGTCCCGCTCACAGATAGGAGATAGTGCTAAAGACGCATCGAGTATATAAGCAGAAATAGTGACGAAATAAGGGCCATCCATTCCTGGCAACTCATCAGGCAAATGGGCCGTATATCACTTTTAAATATCAACTCTCGTTTGTACTGAAATCACAAATTAAAAAGCTGAAATAGTACAGCGCCAACAACTGCCCTGTGTTTACGTCTCCGTATATTTCAAAAATATTCTGTATTTATTGTAATAAAGATAATATTTCTAACTATGGGGGGCTGTTCCATTCAGTGGTGTGGGAAAACAGCAAAACATCTAATTACAAAACAAACGGAATCAAATTTCATCGGTAATTAATTATTAAATATGTAATTTTGCAATTTTCGTCAATTATAGCAAAGCTAAAGTTAAACTGGTAGATTTTAAGCGAAACAGTTGACGACACCCGTCAATTGTTTCGAACACGGGCTGACCAATCGGAGCGAAGTTGTCACAGTAATGGTATGGCAGAATAGTTTTCAAACAAAATAAATGACATTTCGTCTCTATGTCTGGTTATATACTCGATGTTGATAAGAGACAGACATAAACTAAACAAAAGAATACGAACTCATCCTTAGAGGATGGTAAAAAATAAAGGAAGGAACTCATCACATCTTAGGCCTGTCTGTCAACAGGATCTGGAGTCTGCTAGTTTTATTGAAGCCCCTGGTCATTTTAATTCCATTGAGACTCCACTGAGATCTTATTGCATTTATGATAATAATTAGTTATTCTGTTAATATCTAGTTGCACTGGCAGTGGAATTTCAATATAGAGTATCAGAAATGGCAGTGATGGCATTAATTCATTCAATCACTAACGATCGATATTGCCTTACTAAAACTGCCAGGAAATTACTATGAATGTCTTATATTTTTATCTCGGTTAATGAGCAATTTAGTCGTCAAATGAAATATTTATAGTATTAATAACAACGCACACACTCATAGCATTAAGGAAACCCTGTATCGCGGTTGCCATGGACATACATATCGCACTAGTAGTACAATAGTGTGTTAACTCAAAAAGTGTACTTTTTCAGAATCGATGAAAAACAAATTACTCACTTCTCCTGAAAGATTATTAAAATTGTATGTATAGATTAAAGTTTATTACAGCCATCTAAACAATTTCAATGAAAGGGAAACCATAATTTCTTATTCTTGAGTAAGGACTGTTTTATTCAGAACTAGCTCACAAAAAGTTTGTCTCATATCGAGTTAAGTAGATATCTTTTTATTATTTCTTATAATATTGTAACTACGCACAGTGGGGCAGGATACTTTAAAACTTGGTATTAATTATCAATTGCTTAAAATCATAAATATGGTTTATATAGTAACGTATACATAAATAAAACACACAAACATCCTATGTGTGTAATAAAGATAAATATCTCTAACTGTGAGGGGCTGTTCCGTTCGGAGGTGTGGGAAAAACAGCAAAATATCTAATTATAAAAGAAAGGGAATCACATTTCATCGGTAATTAAATAATAAATTATGTAATTTTTCAATTTTCGTCCATTATAGCAAAGCTCCAAGTTAAACTGGGGCTGCCCAATCGGAGCGCAGTTGTCACAGTAATGATATGGAACATTGACTTACAATTATATGGACGACGTGTCTAATACAAAAACCACGAAAAAAATGTCCCAAGTCAACCTATTCGAAATTTAAATTGTAATGTCATCGCAGTATCGCGCTGTCAGTCGAACAAATGAAGACTAAAGCGGAGTTTGGCGCTCTGTATACGATTTTAGCGCCTTACAAGTGCGGACACTTTTTAGCGCGGACCCGACGTCCATATAATTGTAAGTCAATGCACATAAAGCATTGTTTTAAGTTTTATATGTTTTCTCTTTAAATTCGCCACATCAGATTCGGAACAGGCTGTTCACCCTTGAATTTTACTCTTCAATTTTACTCTCACCGGAACTTATTAAGATGTCGTATAGTTCTTTTCTTGATAACGATGCAATGCTACAATTAGGTCCTGGAACCAAGAGAAGAACGTTATTAAAATTCATATAAACAAGAAAACATTATTTTATTAGGTAAATATAAAAAACTCTATTTCTTGCCGTAATCGCAAAATATCGCAAAAAAATTTGCCTAATAATAAAACTATTTAATCATGAAAACAAAAGTATACGATATGCCTATTTACACAATACAAATGATACACAAGTAAAATTTCACAAGTTTCTGAGAAATGCAAAAATTTCACGAAAGATTACAATGTTCTATTCTTAAATTTATGATTCATCGTATGTACTCAATTTTATTAAATAATAGTTATAAAAATATATAGCACATACCTGCAGCTGACGTCTCCATGTCAAAAAAGTGAAGTTTTAAAATATTTCAACCAGCCACAATATTTTTGAGATTAACAAAAAAGATCGAATTAACGAGTAACAGTCGTGCTCTCTCCACAATGCTTTTTTTGCGACTGAGGGGAGAGAGACGGGGGATGTTATCGGCCACGGGACTTACGTTGTCTGATGGGTGGACATGTTGGTAAAATAACTGCCAATATAACGAAGGTAATTATGGCGTTTGGATTTTTTAATTAATACCAACCTTTAAGGTATTCTGCCCCGGTGTGTGACGGTTGTACTGACGTGTAGAGATTCAAATTTTACGTTCAACAATAGCATCACCTTGAATTTCATATATTTTGAGTTACAACACTATTGCAATAGTAGTGCGATGTAGACAACCACAAATTACACCTAAACTCACTACAGAAATAAATGTAAGCCATACAAATATTTCTCCCGGCCCGAAAATTAAACCCGGGACCTCTGCGTGGCAATTCAGCATGATGACCATTCAGCCACGGGGGCAGTACAGTAAGTAGACTATACCATGGACGTGCCGTCGACTCGTCATTGAATAGCAGAATACCAAAATATTGCAATGGCAGTTGAATAGCAGCTCAACGGCCGGGCACTACTCTTAACTTTGATCAGAATGCCAAACAAACAAAATCTTGCCCTTGAAACTCTATCCACACAACAACTGAGGTGACTGAGATGTGAAATTACTCCACTACCTTGTTATAATTATTAATACAAAGATAGAGAAAGAACACTTTGTAAAAATTCCTTCGATCTCACTTAAAACGAAGTTTATATGTGGGCGACCTTTCCCGCATAGAAGTACCTAACCCAGACAGTTCCAACAGGTGACAATGGCAGCGGCACATTTTATAATTTTAGCTTTTGCAAATTGAACTTTACAATGTTTTTTAAGGTTTTACCCATTTGTTTGGGTAGGCAAACGTTCTACCTTATGACCATTTCAAACTTTATAGTATTTTTTCAAAGGAGTCCCAAATGTAAGTCCCAATGTTTAAAAAACTTGTCATCCAGTGCGCATAGAGCAAACCGTAGGGCCACCGAAGTGATAAACACGAAATCTATACTTTATTTAGAATATGCTCTACATTATGCGCCCGGCAGTTCGACTCCGCCTGCCGATGACGCTTGTTTCTTAATTTTCTGTTCAAAAAGATGTAACTTTATCTAATAGAACATAAAGTTTGTGTTGCATTGTTCGTTTTAATGCACCGCAGCGTCACGTCGCCGCGTAAGTAAGTTGAATAATGGACAGTCAAAGAGTATTCGGTCCAGAGTTTGATCGTCACTATTGCAATAGGTACACGCTGGAGAGTCAATAATACGCATGCGACGCAAACAAGAACCGATCCTTTACAATGTATTTAACACGTATCAGAATTAAAAAAAAATCGATTCATGTTTAATTATATAATAACAGACTTTTACGAGATCCAGAAGATAAAAAATATTATTTTATTTACATATTATACTTTATAATAATTTAATGTTATTGACATTGATTTTGTATTACACAATTTTTTAGTAGCAGTAGAGTGCCTTGTGAAAGAGTTTTATCCAAGGAAGTACCGCCACCTTATCTATTTCTGCCGCCAAGCAGTAATGTCAGCATTACTGTGTTCCGGTTTTGAAGAGTAAGGGTGCTGTTGAAATTACAGGCACATGGGACTTGTTAACTTATGTCTCAGGGCGACAGGCGCAGTGGCAATGCCCGTCAGATCTTAGTGATTTAAAGTCTAAGTGGCACTGCAACTGTTATGGATAGGCGTGTAGCTTACCATCAGGCGCACGACTTGTTGGTTCCGTCAGTTGATATTTAAAAAAAAAATAAAAGAAGTTACTGTGTCCTGTATTTAGGTCTGCAGGAATTTCTTTTAGAAATAAGAAGACCATTTGTTTTCCTTTTGTTAAATATGATTTTCTTGTACAATAAACGATTAAATAAATAAATATAAGCAGCGAGAAAAAAATTCAGTTTGCACAAGAATACCACTACTTGACATTGGCCTGCAATCTCGCGATACGAATTCGAGCTTCTCATACCGTTGTCATGTTATAACACAACTGTCATAACTGAGAGTAAATATGTGTGCAAAAGCGTGTAGCGTTTGCAAAAACATATCGGACGATTTCGTAGGTAATATTGTAAAGTTATGTGTCTCTACATCTTAGCCTAGTATAGCCCTAACTTTATAGTACAGATTTAATGTCATCGATCGTTTAATTACGACTAGTTACAGGTATCTTACCACGGTATGAGTTTTTCTTACTTACTATACCGTTGTTTCGAAACGGTTACACTCTCCAAGGTCACGGGTTGGTAACAAACTCGTAAATAATCAATTAATGATAACAATTTAGAGAAAAACAGAGAACTATCCGAATATAGGAATTCATATATTAGTATAGGAATAAGGAATAGGAATCCGGCCGGATTGAAGGATTTTCGTCTAAGTGTTCGTCTCGTTCATCTTTTTAGTAATAATTATAACAAACTAGTGGAGTAATTTCACAAAAGAAAATTAAATATTAATTCAATACAAATTTAATTACAGTTAATAGCGACATCTATAGACAAAGTTCGTAGCTGTAAAGTTACCTAACTGCATGACAAAATACGTTCATAGATTTGTTATAGATGGCGCTACGGCTCCAGTCGTTGAAAACCAAATACAAAGATCCGACAACAAGCACATTGAAAAATTCTTGAGGACCGCTGGTTCGTTCCGTGGCTTTGTTGGCATAGCATCTGGCACGGTTTGCTAGGTCGATTCCAATCCGGCCGGATCGAAGTATTTTTTTCTAAGAGTTCGATCTTTGTATTAATAATTATAACAAACAAGGAGTAATTTCACAAAAAAATTTATATGAATTCTATACAAATTTAATTTATTTATTTATTTCTTTCTTTTCAAGGGATAACAAACAATTGTACATGGTATGATTACATTTGTTGTGAGGTTAAGTGACATATCCACTCATCCGAAGAACAGAGTCTGATGTGATTATACAGCGAAAATATGATAAATACATAATCTCGTTATTCAAAATAAGGCCAATCGATAAGTGTTTTTAGAAATTTTATATCTTATTTCGTTTCGGAAATATAAAATCGAACAACAGTTTATCTGATACCCACAGCGACAACAACAAACGTAATGTACAATGTTCTGAGAATAAACAACCTTACACATACGGCTTTGTTCTACGGATGAGTCGATATGTACACGTACAATCAACAACATTATCCACATATTAATAACAGAGAACTAATAGATTTTCTGTCAAAATGTCATTACGTGACCGTTTAAATAGACAATGACGTAGGTTTAGCCAAACTGTAAACTGATATGTTGTCTGTACCGCGAAAACTGCAGACGAGTTCAAGGTTTGCCCGGTTTAGAACACGCTTGTCTGCTCCAATGTTGAACTAGACATTGTCTAGGCCGAGTTGAATTTTATTTCTGGATACAATTTTAAAGGTCGGCAAGATACATTTGGGCCGTAAGTAAGGTATATAGAGAGAGACACTGATGCAGTCACATTTGTGGAGCTTTCAACTTATGTCTCAGGGTGACGGGCGCAGTGGCAGCGCCCCTAACATCTTTGCGATTTAACGCTCTGAGTGGCACTGCAACTGTTGGATAGGCGTGTCGCGTTGCCAATGTGCGAGGAATTTCATCTCATTTGAACTCTATTGGGGCCTTTGTGAGGATTGGCGCTATGTGTGTTTGGTTTGACTGGCTCTATTGACGCTATGCTAGAATGCCCGCATTGTCCCCACAACCCTCACAAAAACCCCAATCGTGCTCAAACGATTTGAAATTCCCCACACATTGGCAACACTGGTCGCTTGCCACCAAGCACACGACTTGTTCCTCCCATCACTTAGTATTAAAAAAAAACTTTGTAGCAACAATGGTATTTCAAGTCTATTTTCAAGTTTTTCACTCACTCACTCACTCAATATTCTTTATTGCACAATAAACAACCAAAAATACAATACAATCAAAAATACAGTGTACAACAGGCGGCCTTATTGCTAAATAGCAATCTCTGCCAGGCAACCTTGGGGTGTTAGGATAAACTAAAAGTAGTAATAATAATAGAGGGCGCAATAAATATGATGTATGGTTTTTCCATCAATATAAGTATATTTTTAATATCGTGATAGTGTTTCATTGTTCATATTTATCAAA